ATGGCTTCTGTGATTTCAAACACATCAGCTGATGGTAGTTCCTTATGTTGGGATCAGTGTCTCTGAAGTTTAGTCGCAATATTTATCGGTCAAAGGTGATGCATCCTGTAGAATTGCTGTGTAGATAGGTTTTTCTTGGCCCGACAGGCCCTCGGGCCGGAACGGATGTCACGTGCTTCTGGTGTCTCCGATTACCTTTCTGACCGCTCTCCTGCACAGCATTTTGTGTCATTAAGACAAAGAGGGTAGGGACTACCTCTAACAGCAGCCTAGGTTATTATAAAGGTTAGAATTCCCTCCAGCCCTCACAGTCGATTACTCAGCTTCTGTTGTTTCACATCTCTCCAGGGCCTTTAGGGCCTGGCATGTAGGCTCACCTATCTCTCTCAATCTGTCCACAGGCCTGGAGGGCCTTTTGGTGCAGGGCCTGGCCAGCTGTCTGAGTGAGAGGCTCTGACCCCAGCTCAGAAGCTGCAGCGAGTGCTAGCTCACCTATCTTGTGCAGAGGTGGTGCATAAAATTAGAACCACCACGTTCAACAGACAAGCAGCTGCACATCTTTCCCTGCAGGAGCTGGGGGTTGGGGTTGGGGAGTTGCAGTGGACGGCAGCTCTGGATCTCACCGTACAACCTACTTTCATTCCTGTGGGCATCCTGCTCCAGTCTGCTGCTCTTGAACCTCTCCTGAGAACCTACCTTACCTTTGGAGGAGGGCCCACAGGAAGGGGGAGCGAGGCAATCAAGTTTTCAAACCTTTGACTTTCAGAAAGCAGGCATAATATTGATGCATGAAAGGTAGCAGTTTTCAGAGACACTCAGTTTTAGCCATTAGTGTCAACTTTCCTTTTGCTCAGCCAAGATTATGGCTGGTATCAGATCTATGTCCCAGGCTTAACATCTGAAGGAAGTGCCAGGAGAGGGTGAGATAGCCAAAAGGGCAGAAAGGAAGAGGGAAAAGATGGGGGCCACCATGCAGCACCTTGCACAAATGAGCTGAGATTGTGTTATGAACAAAAAGTGCTTAATCCCAACCCCAGGGACAGTTCCTGGGTGGTCTCTTACCGAGGTTCATGGGGCGGTCCGCTCTGCTCTACCAGCTTGAACTCACAGCTCTGACTAGTGAACTGTGCATACTCTAACAGCCCGCTGACGGGGTTCTTGAGCTGGCACTCAGTCAGTTTCTTGTAGGGCGAACACCGTGGCAAGCCATGGTTGTAGAAGGAGGGCATCTCCATGATGGCTCGAAACTCACCTGGTGCAGCGTGGATACTATTCAAATCATCTGGGATGTCATCTGTGGCCCACTGGCCATTTTCAAAGTCAACATACCCTGTTCTTGAGGGGCCACTGTCGCGAACAGGTGGTTTCACCTTGACTGGCGCTGGTGTGGCTTCCTGCCTGTTTTCTAACTTTACGACGGGCTCCGGTCCATTTGGTACTTTCCCCATGGAGGCCGCGTTGTCTGAAGCACCTGCAGCAGGTAAGTTACTAGCAGGGACAGCGACATTTCTTTGGGCCTCAGAGGTAGCCGCAGCAGAGGGTTCAGGGACGCTGTATGTACTTCTCTTGAGCTGCATCCTTTCTCGTTTCTTGTCAGTCAGATACCATATGGGAGGGGTTGCTCCCAGTCTGTAGACATCCCCCTGCCTTTCCAAGTCAATCAGTATGGTATTGACATCTCGGGCCTTGGTGAGGCCAATATTTTTAGCTAAATTTAGGGCAGAGGAGTTGGCCACATTGAACAGATAGTTGCAGATTTTCTCTTTGATCTCAGCCATGTCAGAAGGATCAAGAGGATATTCCAAGCCAGATGAGTCTTCTATTTCTAAGCCAGATTCAGGGTCTCTGTCTGTAGTTTCTAAGCCAGATAGGTAGTTTCTGTCTTCTGTTTCAAAGCCAGATGTGCGGTCTCTGACTTTAGTTTCCAAGTCAAATGTGGGGTTTCTGTCTTCTGTTTCAAAGCCAGATACGGAGTCTCTGTCTTTAGCTTCTAAGCCAGATGTGAGGTTTCTATGTTCAGCTTCCAAACGAGATAAGAAGTTTCTGTCTTCAGTTTCCAAACTGGAGTCTGAATGTGGAGGGGCTGGACTACGATTGTCAGGTCTCACAACTTTGCTGTGCTGGTTCCCAGCCGGAAATGAGATTACAGTGCTCCACAAAGGGGGTGTTCCTACCTGTCGATACACCCTACCCCTCTTTTCCAAGGAGTATAAAACTCGATTGATGTCTTTCTTTGGCTTTCCAAGTTTTTTAGACAGCTCACAAGCTGTGACGGTCTTTCCTTCCTCCAAGAGAGCTAAGATCCTTTGTTCTGGCCCTTGGCTGATGCTCAGTTCCTGAAAATGTGAGTCAAGCCGATCAACACCTCTCCATGGCCGAATCCACCTCGCTGGCTGCTGGAAGCCTCTATGAAGCCCCTGACTTCTGGGAGACACAACCCTGGGAGTATCCCAGGTCTGCAGCTGCCGGTCTCTTGGCTGGAGTCCAGGGAAGAATGGTGGTGACGGTGTCTGCTTTCTAGTCAAGGGCACTTCCGGAAGTCGTCCCTGGAGAAACTCTATTTGCTGGAGCTGGAAACTATTCAGGGAAGATCCTGGGCCTGACTTTTGGTGTCTGAGCTCACTGTAGTCATAGCCTTGAATTGGATGGAAGAAATAACTGTTGAGGGAACCCCCCTGCAGAACAAGAAGATGGAAAAGAAAAGTGAGTTAGGTCTGGAGTAGAGAACCTAGGTGCATGCCTCCCTCTCCCCCTGCCTGGAGGAGCTGGCCAGAGTCCTGATGGGCTTGAGAATGAGTGAGTGAGATGGGCTGTTAGTCCAGCTAGGGTGCTTGCCCACCTCTTAAGTACTGCCTAGGAAGAATGAGGCTGCCGACGAGAAAGAAGCAAGGGCAATAGGGGACAAGGGCAAGGGAGGGGAAAAGTAGATTAAAACACAGTTACTCAAGTGAAAATGCCTTCCCCAAACACAGAGCTTCCAGAAGGACATTGTGGGTTCGGAGACCCCAAGCATCCTCGCTCCTTTCCCTGGGGTGAAATGTTAAGGGAGCTGATTATTATTTGATAACACAGAGGTGGAGTAAAGGCCACGGGAGAACACTTTGGATAACAAAAAGCTATTTAAGAAAAATTGTGAAAATAATAGAAAATTCTAATACAGAACACCATAAGGTACCAAAAATGTTTACATCCATTTTTACTAATATGCTATATTACTATTTTATAAATGTGTAATAAAGGGATCCCTCTTTATTGATTTTCCTCCACTTAAAACAACAACCAACCCCCTCCCCCATACCTTTAGAAATTCAGAAAAACAAACAAATGTTACTTTAACAAGTAAACAAAAAGCAGATAGCCTGGTTATTCCAAGGGAGTTAAGGGAATTCAGAATGGACAGGTTCACACCACACAATTCCCTTGGCCTCCAAAAGCCAGCATCTGGATGACTATGGCACAAACTATGACAGAGGAAGATTTTTCACGTGGGGAAGGGCAAGGACACTTTGTAGATTCTTCTACAGAACCAGAATTTGCTCTGAGCTAGGCTAGAGGGTCTATAAACACAACCGTCTTGGAGGAAGTACAATCAGAGTGTTCCTAAGAGGCAAAGATGGTGAAGCCTCGTCTCACATACTTTGGGGATGGTATCAGGAGGAGCCAATTATGGAAAAAAAACATCATGCTGAGAAAGGTAGAGGGCCAGAGAAGGAGAGGAAGATTCTCAACAAGATGGGTTGACACAGGGACTGTAACAACGGGCCGAGTACCTCAGAGGTGGTGAGGGTGGCACAGGATAGAGCGGGTTCAGATCTGTTGTTCACAGGATCACTATGTGTTGTACTCTACTTGATGGTACCTAACAGCAAACTGTAAAGTTTCCTCATACAAAAGGCACACTGTCTCTACTTTTCAACGTGGTGCTAAAGCTCAGAAGCGACACTCAAACTACACAGGTAGTTTTATCCAAACTCCACCAGCTTTCCTAGATGTGCAGAGCTGGCAGGGTCTACTTCTTGCCATCTCAGTCCCTGTCTTTTGGCCTCTTTTACTACATGTTCTTCCAAACTACTCCCTATTTCCACATTTACTCAAACACCGGGCCCACATGCCTGACTGTTCCCCTTCATCCCACATCCAAGCGAGCGCTCACCCTTTCCTAGGTGCTGTTCATGGAAGGTATCAGAGGTGGCAAGAAGGGTTAACATCATGCTTCCTTTACACTGGGGTTTTCAGATTTGAAGGTGGGCATTTCCTCCAAGGACCTGCAGGCACTGTCCCCTTTTTTCTCCAAACTTTACCGTCACCCCTCAGCCTTCTACTGCCCCACAACCACTGCCTCGCTGGGAGACTTTCCCACTCTTGCCCCCTTTTCTCATGGTATTCCAGCTATAGGGCTTCTTAACTCCTAACTCAATGTCCTTTAGCCACCCCATCTGGTGGTTCAACTACGCCCTCAATCTCACTGCATCCCTAACCTATGTGACACACCATGAGATGTATAAGTTTAAACAATGGAAAAGTATCCATTGTTTGTGTCTTCTAGGTTGCAACACACCCATGATACATCTTCAAGGATATGAACATGTACGGCCAAGCACAATCAACAAGAGTGCATCTAAATTCCAAAATCAATCTCCATAATAGTCTATGTGTTTCCTACTGCCAAAGGGGCCCTTTAGAGTTGTGAGAGAAGATCTTCAC